AACGCTCGGCGCACACGCCTGGGGAACTGCTGAAAGGCGCCTGCGCATCTGAGTTCCCGCAGGCGGGGCCTGAGTTGCTCTGGGTCTCCGCCTCGCGCGACCTCTGACCCCTGGACGTACGCACGCAACGTCGCCAAACCTGCGTGCTCGCGCCCGGTGGGTGGGGCGAGGGAGCACATCTGCGCGTGCGCCGAAAGTTCTGGCGGGCTTGTACCGCAGGCAAAGGGCGCGGGCAGTCGCCGAGTGGGTCCTGTAACCCCGCTTTGTTCGAGGTCGACACCCGCCTTTTACAGAGACCATTCCTTAGTGAGTACTCCTGCCGAGGCCACCTTTATGAGGTGCGAAGGGCCCTTAGTTTTCGAGAAAGAGCCTGGTTGGGGCTGGGAGGTCCTTGGGTGTGAGGTAACGGCCCCCCGAGGCCTGGTGCTCCCTTCCAGTTCGTTGTTCTTTGATCCCCAGGGAGATTTCCGGCCCGGCCCAACCCCACCACTGCGCAGCCGCCCGCTAAGGTAACCTTCCCAGCCGTTGGACCCCTTGGGACGCCCAGCACCCCCTGGGCCAACCGCAGGCCCTCGTCATCATGGAGGAGGCCTGGCGCCCCGGATGGAGGGAGCTGGGCGGGGCGTGGGGCCGGCAAAGGGTACGATGGCGGCTGTGGGCCTGAGCCAAGTGCCGGCCTCTGCGGGGCTGTTGACTCCCCTTCCACAGGCCGGCGAGGAACTCGGTGGAGATCCTCGCCCACCTCTCTGTCGGCCAGATCTCAGGGACCCATCTTTCTCCGGGCCACACCCCAGCCTGCTGAGCCTGCCCCCAGCTCCGCACACCCACCCTCGTTAAAAAACTTTCCCTGATAACAAACGTGTTTATTTTGATCTATCCCCACCCTTACCCCGGCTTAGCAGTTGCCATGTAAACGGGTCTTCCATTGAAGTAGTTCTTGTCACATCACGTCTTCTTTTTGTTGTTTTTTTTTGTTTTGTTAATCCTCACCGGAGGATATTTTTTCCATTGATTTTTATTTATTTTTGGGAGAGGGAAAGACAAACATTGATGTGAGAGAAACACATCTATTGATTGCTCTCCTGCACACACCCCGATGTGAGGGAAACAGGCACACGGATTGGTTGCTTCCCACGCACCCCAGGATGGAACCTGCCCCCCAGGTTCCCCAGGTTTGGTTCAGTGGTAGAGTGCCGGTTCGATTCCGGGTACCCACCCCGGTTGCAGGCTCGATCATCACCCACCGCCCTGGTCAGGGCTGGTGCAAGAGACAACCAATCATTGTCTCTCTCCTACATGGATGTTTCTCTCTCTCTCTCCCCTCAGACCGAAGAGTCCCGGTTCGATTCCGGGTACCCACCCCGGTTGCAGGCTCGATCATCACCCACCGCCCTGGTCAGGGCTGGTGCAAGAGACAACCAATCATTGTCTCTCTCCTACATGGATGTTTCTCTCTCTCTCTCTGTCTCTCCCTCTCCCTTCCACTCTCTCAAAATCAATGGAAAAATATCCTCCGGTGAGGATTAACAACAACAACAAACTTACTTTCCAAGGCCCCTTTTTAAAAGTGCTGCGTTTATGTTTTATCCTAGTTCAGACAACTAGGAAGGTTCCTTGCCTGTCCCTCACTTCATCGAGTTACCAAATCACGAGTAGGCATCATCCTAGACATTTTCCAAACGAGTCCACTTATCTCCATCTACACTTCCATCTCTGTAGACCAGGCTACTATCGGTTTCTGCCTGGAGCTGCAGGAGCCTCCTAGCTGGTTCTTCATCTGCTCTTGTTCTGGGTCATTCCCACATTTACACCAGAGGGGTTCTAACTCAGAGTTATGTGATCATGTCCTTTCTTTTATTGCTTTTAGGATAGACTCCTTCCTGTTGTTCTTAGGATAAACAGGTGATGAAGCTTATAGACCAGCGGTTCTCAACTGTGAGTCGCGACCCCTTCGGGGGTCAAACAACCCTTTCACAGGGGTCGCCTAAGACCATCGGAAAACACATATATAATTACATATTGTTTTTGTGATTCATCATTATGCTTTAATTATGTTCAATTTGTAACAATGAAAATACATCCTGCATATCAGATATTTACATTACGATTCATAACAGTAGCAAAATTACAGTTATGACGTAGCAACAAAAATAATTTTATGGTTGGGGGTCACCACAACATGAGGAACTGTATTTAAAAGGGTTGCGGCATTAGGAAGGTTGAGAACCACTGTTATAGACTCATCACCTGTCTTAATAAAGGCCTTCATCCCTTCTCTACCTATGCTTTCTCCCTAAATGATCTCATCTGTTCCAACAGCTCCAAATGTCACCTAAATACTGATGATTCAAACGTATATTTCCATCCCTTGCACACTAAGGAACACCCCCGCCCCCTTAGCATATTCACGGGATGTCTAATAGGCCTCTCAGACTTAACCAAAACATAACTACTGGTTTTTCTCTGCAAATCTCTTTCGCTAACATCCTCCCCCATCTCAGCAAAGGGTCTGTACCAATATCCACCTCATAGCAAAGGCCAAAGTCAAGTGACATCCTTGATTCCCACATGTAATCCATCAGTCTAAAATATGCCTCAAATTTAAGTATTCAATAACTACTAAGATCCCGACGTCCAAACCAGCAATATCTTTCTCCTAGACAGAAGCTTCCTAACTGGTCTTTTTGCCTGTCCGCTTCTCTTACAGTTCATCTTCCTCTCAGTAGTCAGAGTGATGTTCTTAAGCATAAATCATTTCACTCCTTTTTATAAAATCCTTAAAATAAAATCTGGGTTCTTTGTAATGGTCTATAGGCCTTATGTGATCTAGCTCCTGCCTGTCTCTCTGACTTCATCTCTCTCTACTCTTCATTTTCTATGTTCTAGTCTCACTGACCTTTCCATCCATTAACTCACCTGTCACAGGGTATCTGTGCTTACTGTTTTTTTCTGCTTGGAATGCTTTTTCCCTTGACTTTGCATGGTTGTTTCTTTCCTTAAGGCTTCAACTTGGTTGTGATCTCTTCTGAAAGGCCTTTGCTGGTCACACTTCACTACTATAAAACCCTATTTTATTTTCTTCATAGCACTTAAAGTACTTCAAATTACACTTAATTATTTACTGGAGGCCCGGTGCACGAAATTTGTACACGGGGCGTTGGGGGGTGGGTGTCCCCTCAGCCCAGCCTGCACCCTCTGGAATCCGGGATCCCTCTCACAATCTGGGACCGCTGGCTCCTAAATGCTCACCTGCCTGCCTGCCTGATTGCCCCTAACTGCCTTTGCCTGCCAGCCTGGTCACCCCTAACTGCCCCCCTGCTAGCCTGGTCGCCCCACACAGGCTGCTGTTCAGTCATTTGGTCGTCCCTCACTAACCCCCCAGGCGGCCTAGTTGCCCCACACAGCCTGCTGTTTGGTCGTTACTGTGATGGAGTCCTGGAAAATTTGAATATTCCTCTATTACTAATATAGATATGTTTACTAGAGGCCCGCTGCATGAAATTCATGCACAGGTAGGGTCCCTAGGCATGGCCAGAGATCAGGGCTGATCAGGGCCTTCCAGCTGCCGGACAGAGCATTCCTTCTGGCTGCCGGCTGGGGCCTTCCTTCGTTCCATGCCACCCCTGGTGGTCAGCACACGTGTCATAATGAGTGATCAAACTCTGAGTCTCTCAGTCAAACTCTCAAGGGGATGCTTTCCATATTAGCCTTTTATATATATAGATTGTTTCTCTCCACAACTCCTGAAGTGTGAGCCCTTAAAGATGGGTTCATGTTTCTCTTTTTACTGTTAGTGCTCATAACAGTGCCTGATACAGAATAGAGCCTGAGGCTCTGAAATGTGTGGTAATTGACTCATCTGGAGTCTTATCTCATAGAACTTCCTTACTGTCCCGTATGTTTCAGGTTACTATACTTGTCTCTTTTGAAAATGCCATGCTGCTCCCAACTGAGGACTCCTGCATCTTCATTTGTGCACTCCTAAGTCATACTCATCCTTCAGATAGGAGTCACTTAGAGTGGGCTTCCCTGACTTCCATTCTAGGTTAGGATACTCTGTAATATGTCCCGTCCATATCACCCTATCCTTTTTTATAGTAGTTATTACAGTTAAAATTATTTATAAGCTCTTTTTAGGTAGGAAACAAGATTTTCCCATCAAATAACACCAGAAAAATTTGGTGACAGTACTTCCTTATTATCATCTCCTTCCACCTCAATAGACAATATAATTACCCTCATATAGCATTCAGTCCTGCTTTAGGTTCTGTGCACTGACCCAGATTTTTCTTTATATGAAACAAATTACTAAAACCTTGAAAAATCTAACATCAGTGCCAATGTGTCATTTAAGACTAATTATTGGGTATTTCCAAGGTAAGATTTCTTTTATTGGGATTTGTCAGATCTTGCACTGAGATGAAAGCTAACCAGTTTTCTTCTCTTGAATTTGCTTTTCTAGTGAAGCATTAATGGAGAAACTTCAGTTCTATCAAAATAGCTAATGTTTATATAATACTCTAGAGTTTATGAGTTTATCTCATTCAGTGCTCACAACAATTCTAGGAAGAGGTGGGATCCCCATCTGTAGATGTAGAAACTGAGAAATGAAGAGGCTGAATGAGTTGTTCAGGGTTTAATAACTAAGAGGCAGAGCTAGGACTCAAGCCTTGGTCTTCCAATTCCAAATCTTGTGTCTTCCCCACTATCCCATATTGCCTATAACTTTTCTTCTTTTGTTTTAAAGCCATCATGTTTTGTGATCACCTAAAAATGGGCCGAGAGTCTGTCCCTTCATCTACAAGATTCCATCAACTTAATAGTTACAGGGACATAGAGTTGCCATCCATGACTGCAGTCTTCATGTTGGAAAATAACCTTGTGAAATCTTTGAACCACTACTACTGTGTGGTTGTTTTTTTTAAAAAAAAAAATTTTTTTTTTTATTGATTTCAGAGAGGAAGGGCGAGGAAGAGAGAAATGTAAATGATGAGAGAGGCCGGGGTCCCTTCCTTAGAGGGCAGCTGGTTGGGATCCTCCAGGAACGGGGGTGCGTTTCGGAACTGCTGGGCAGTGTAGCGAGTGAGGAGGATGCCAACACCCTCGATGAGGGCCAACAGGATGCCTCCCATCATTGCCGAGCCCATCATGGCCAATGGGCCACTGCGGGCAGCCAGCACAGCCCCAGTCAACGCTCCACTGCTGATGGAATTCCAGGGATCCTCCTTGCCCCGCACATGCACCAGGCCACAGTCGATGGTGGAGAACAGGCCCCCCCACACTGCGAAGCTACCTCCAATCTGAGGGGCTCGGATCCTCACAGCATTGGCACTACCTCTCAATCGGTGCCGAATTCCCAGGGCTCCCGAGCGTACTCCTCCATGGCGCCGGCGTCCGGCTAAGGCCCGGCTGTCCCCACTATCCCATATTGCCTATAACTTTTCTTCTTTTGTTTTAAAGCCATCATGTTTTGTGATCACCTAAAAATGGGCCGAGAGTCTGTCCCTTCATCTACAAGATTCCATCAACTTAATAGTTACAGGGACATAGAGTTGCCATCCATGACTGCAGTCTTCATGTTGGAAAATAACCTTGTGAAATCTTTGAACCACTACTACTGTGTGGTTGTTTTTTTTAAAAAAAAAAATTTTTTTTTTTATTGATTTCAGAGAGGAAGGGCGAGGAAGAGAGAAATGTCAATGATGAGAGAGAGTCATTGACCTGCTGCCTCCTGCACGCCCCCTACTGGGGATCGAGTCTACAACCCGGGCATGTGCCCTTGACCAGAATCAAACCTGGGACCCTTCATTCCTCAGGCCAACGCTCTATCCACCGAGCAAAATCAGCTATGGCACTATGTGGTTGTTTTGGATTATTTTGTGTAATCTTTATTTCAGATGAGATAATTCATGTATGGTATTTGTTTCTGAAGTGGGCAGCCAACAATTAATAGGAATAGGCCCCAGCTAGAAGAGGGCTGTTTTCACTTCTTTCAGGAGGGCAGTACATGAAGTTTCTTTTCTGGTTTGTCATTTCCAGCAAATGTCCTTCATTTCCTTTGCTCTCATGCCCCAGCCCTCAGTCTGCGGGGATTGATGATTGTATGTTAGAACCCTCGGAATAATTGAAATCTAATTTTTTGTGACAGCAACCTAAGTCTCACTAGTTGGACTCTCTGCCTACTTAGAAAAGTCGTCTGTAACCCAAAACACCATCAAATCTAGCCTGGGTACCTGCTATGCCTTGGGCATGGAGAATCAGCAAGATTTTTCTCAGGACATGAACAGTATTTCCCCTTTGGTAACTTTGCAGTTGGCACCAACTATTTCTCTTCACTTTTGACTGCAGTTCTAGTCTAAATAGTCTACTAGGCTCTGGCTCCAACCTCCGGTCATTCTAATCCCAAGCAGCTGAGATCAGACACTGGGATATCTCTTTACTGGCAGCCCTAGGCTTGAACTTTGGAAATTGTGGGAAATTCCATTTTTTGGGCACATAGGTCTTCTGGCTCCACCATACATGAGTTTTCCCTGCTGAGTAGAAACGGTATCAGTAATATAGAGTGAAGAATAATGAAAATAGTCCTTTATGTGAGGATAACATTTTAGTACTTACAAAATGATTTTATATTTATTTATTTTTTTCTTTATAATAATCCAGGAAACAGTGGAAAAGTGGTTAAGATCAAGTCTGATTTATATTGTCTCAGTTTGAATTTTATTTCCAATATTCAAAGCTATGGAAGTTACTTCATCTCTCAGTGTCTGTTTCCTCATCTGTCAAATTTAGACTACTTATCTCATAGGCTGATTATGAGGATTGAGATATGAAGGCATGAAAAAAAACTGGTAATTATTGTATAAACTAGAGGCTCCATGCACGAATTTCGTGCATGGGGGTATGTGTCCCTCAGCCCAGCCTGCACCCTCTCCAATCTGGGACCCCTCTCACAATCCAGGACTGCTGGCTCCCAACCACTCACTTGCTTGCCTGCCCGATTGTACCTAACAACTCCCCTGCCAGCTGACCGATGCCTAACTGCTCCCCTGCCGGCCTGATTGCCCGTAACTGCTCTCCCTTTCAGGCCTGGTTCCTCCCAACTGCCCTCCCCTGCCAACCATCTTGTGTCCACATGGGGGCAGCCATCTTGTGTGTTGGAGCGATGGTCTATTTGCATATTACTCTTTTATTAGATAGGATAAGAAAACCAAAGGCCAGAGAAGCTAAGTACTGACATTGGAGCTGAGATTTAAACCTAAATTGTTCTTACTTTGTGCCTGTTCTCTCTACCTTATCTCTGCTTTCTCTGAAATCAATACCTTGCATTGTATAAAGGTAGCTTTAAACTTCAACAATGGACCTCTTACTCTCATTATTTATTATTTCAACTTCTCTATGAAGAGACAAAAAGTGCAGGGTTATCTCCATGAAGAAAAAAGAGGCACAGAAAAATGGTAGTGACTTTCTAGAACATCACAGTGTGCTTGATTCCTAGCTCTGAGCACATACCAATTACCTTTTGGAGGAGAAGAGACATGCCATCCTTTTTCCATCTCTTCTCTTTCCTGAGTTTCCCATAAAGGATTTTTTAAAATTATATATATTTTATTGATTTTTTACAGAGAGAAAGGGCGAGAGAGAGTTAGAAACATGGATGAGAGAGAAACATCAATTCAGCTGCCTTCTGCACACTCCCTACTGAGGATGTGCCCACAACCAAGGTATTTGCCCTTGACTGGAATCGAACCTGGGACCCTTCAGTCCCCCGGCCGATGCTCTATTCACTGAGCCAAACCAGTTAGGGCACTGTAGAGGATCTTAAGTGGGCAAAGATTCTGGACTAGGAAAACTGAAACAAGTGAGTGCTAGGAGGATAGTAGACACTTGTGGCACAGTGCAGTCTCACAAGTGAAGAGGAAGAGTGATTGAGAGGGAGGGAAGGTGAGGCATTCCTCAGCACCATTGGGAAACGGTGTGCGTCCTTATTCGCTGCACTGGCTGTGGCAGGGGGGTGTGCTCCTCTCTTAACTGCATGTAAAATTAATAGCAGAGGTCTTCCTAATTTTGCCACTTCCTGGTATATCATTTAGATTGTTTCATTATTTCGCTTGAGCCCTGTTCACATTGGCCTAGAGAAAGTAAGGACAAGGGCAGAGAATAGATTCAAGAAATATTTGGAGATAGATACTTAATTCTAACAAAAACCTGGTGAGTCATCAGATATTAGTTTTAGTCTTATGGAAGAGAAGTGCACAAAGTTGTAAGGTAAATGTGAAAACTTATTCAGGACTTTTGACTTCAAGTATAGAGATCATCCCAAAACACCGTGTATCCTCCCCATGCAGCTAGGATAATGGTCTAGGTTAGTGGTCACCAATCTTTTGGACCTCGCAGACCACCGGTTGGTTACTGCTGCTCCAAAGGTTTCCTTAAACCAGCAGTCGCCATCCTTTTGGACTTCACGGACCACCAATGGTCCGCAGACCACTGGTTAGGATTGCTGGTCTAGGTCATGAATATCAGAACTGAGTCTGGGACATAGGCAGTGGTGCTAAGTATTGAACATTTTACTCATAAAGAATGCTACTCATAAAGAGCAGGCTCTCTTTCCCATCTTCAGCTTTTTAATAATTCTCTAACATTTCCATTTTATTTAGGCTATTGTTTGGAAGCAATGAGTTTAAAACCCTTCACCTACCCGTTTCCAGAGACAAGATTTCTTCATTCAGGATCCAGTGTATATAAATTCAAAATCAGATATGGTGACAGCATCAGGTAAATTTAAAGCTAGGAGGGGGTAGCCTTTGTAAACCGGTTAGTGCATTTTCTCACAGATAATCCCTTCTTTGCCTTCACCCAGTCCAGGAGACTGGCTGAAGAAGCACGTTGTAGGTCTTTCCCAGGCATTTTATATTCCATATGTTACTACTCATGTAAATTCCTAAATTAGTGATGGCATACCTTTGGGGCAATGGTTCTCAAATTTTTTTTTATCTCAGGACCCCTTTGCACTTTTAAAATTATTGAGTATCTCAAAGTTTTTGATTATGTGGGTTATAACTGTCAAAACTTATATGAAAGCCCTAACCAGTTTGACTCAGCGGATAGAGCGTCGGCCTGCAGACTCAAGGGTCCCAGGTTCGATTCCGGTCAAGGGCATGTACCTGGGTTGCGGGTACATCCCCAGTGGAGAGAGTGCATGAGGCAGCTGATCGATGTTTCTCTTTCATCGATGTTTCTAACTCTCTATCCCTCTCCCTTCCTCTCTGTAAAAAAATCAATAAAATATATTTAAAAAAACAAACAAAAAAACTTATATGAAAATTAAAACAAAATTAAAATAACATACGTACTACTTTGAAAATATATATCATTAACTTTTAAAAATTGATTTAGAGAGAGAGGAATTGAAGGAGAGAGAGAGAAAGAGGAACATTGATTTGTTGTTCTACATATTTATGCATTCATTGGTTGCTTTCTCTGTGTGCCCTGACTGGCGATTGAACCTGCAACATATGGGGACAATGCTCTAACCAAGTAGGGCCTTATATCCTTAAATGTTAACAAATAACATTTTATTTAAAATAACTATCTTTAAAAAAAATTTTTTTTTTAAAATTGATTTCAGAGAGGAAGTGAGAGGAAGAGATAGAAAGATCCTTGATGAGAGGGAATCATTGATTGGCTGCCTCCTGCATGCCCCCTACTGGAGATTGAGTCCGCAATCCCAGCATGTGCCCAGATCAGGAATTGAACAGTGATGCTCAAGCACTGAGCCATACCAGCCAGGCTAAAATAAATATATCTTTTAAAAAATTAATGAGAGTCCTAGCCAGTTTGGCTCAGTGGATAGAGTGTCGGCCTGCGGACTGAAAGGTCCTAGGTTCGATTCCAGTCAAGGGCACATTCCTGGATTGCAGGCTCGGTCCAATGTACAGGAGGCACCCAATCAATGATTCCCTCTCATCATTGATGTTTCTGTCTCTCCCTCTCCCTTCCTCTCTGAAACCAATAAAAATATATTTAAAAAATTAATGAGAAGGCTGACATTGTTTACATTCCTGGGTTTTGTTCCAGAATACAAGGATGGTTTAACATACAAAACCCCATCACTATAATATGCCACATAAGGCTACTCTCCCTCCCGAAGGTATGCCCATGCCTTTCTTCCCTCTCAGGCTTGCATTTTCTAAACTCTGTAAGAGTCCCCACAAGACATGCAACCAGGGAAGCAATAGACAGTGGCAGCTCATCCCGGGCTAACCGCCCCCCCCCCCTTTTTTAATACTCACTCGATATTTTTCCATTGATTTTTAGAGAGAGTGGAAGAGAGAGGCAGCGACAGAGAGAAACATCAATATGAGAGAAACATTGATTGGTTGCCTCTTGCACGTGCCCTGACCAGTACCTGGGCTGGGGAGGAGCCTGCAACCCAGGTATCTGCCCTTGACCGAAATCGAACCCAGGACCCTTTGGTCCATGAGCCAAATGGGCTAGAGCCCAGGCTAACCCCTTGAACCGGTCTCCAAGGCCCCCTTTTCTCTGACTTTCCAGTGAGCCAAAGCAGCCCTGTCTAGGCTCATTTTTTGTCTATAATATTTCTAGAGAGCCAAAGCAGCCCTGCCTAGCTCTTTCCTGTTGCTTCTTCTATCCTAATTCCTTCCTTGTTTCACTGTCCCCAGCTTTAATAAGCACCTTTTCGTGATACAAACAATAAACTAGGGATAGAGGTGAACTTCTTCAACATGATAAAGGCTGTATATGAAAAACTCACATCTAACATCATAGTCAAATACTCTTCATACTTAAAGCTTTTCCCTTAAGATCAGAAATAAGTCAAGGATGCCCACTTTCACCACTTTTATTCAATATAGTACTAAAGTTCTAGTTAGAGCAATTAGTCAAAAATATAAAATGCATGCAAATTGGAAAGGAAGGAGTGAAACTATCTCCATTTGCAGACAATATGATCTTATATGTAGAAAACCCTGAAGAATCCACATAAAAAACTTACAGCTAATCAATGAATTCAGCAAAGTTGCAGGATACAAAACCATGCAAAAATCAGTTTTATTTGTATACACTAGCAACAGACAATCTGAAAAGAAAATTAAGAAAATTATCCCATTTACAATAGGATTCAGAAAGAAAAATATAATTAGCAATAAATTTAACCAAGGAGATGTAAGACTTGAACACTAAAAGCTACAAAAAAACAACACCTGAAATAAATTAGAAACCCAAATAAATAAAATCTTGTGTTCATGGATTAGACTTAATATATAGTTAAGATGACAACAGTACTCAAAGCAATCTACAGATTCAGTGAAATCCTTATCAAAATCTCAATGGCTTTTTTTTTTAAGAAATGGAAAGCCCATTCTAAAATTCATATGGAGCAGCATAGTATTCCATCGTGTAGATGTACCACAGTTTTCTAATCCATTCATCTACTGATGGGCACTTAGGCTGTTTCCAGATCTTAGCTATGGTGAATTGTGCTGCTATGAACATAGGGGTGCATATATCCTTTCTGATTGGTGTTTCTGGTTTCTTTTAAACAATAATAGATACAGAGGCAGAGCGGCCTCAAACAGAGTGTCAAACTGCAGCGGGAAGGCCGGGGAGGGTTCGGGGGTGGGAGGTAGGGGGGTAAGAGATCAAACAAAGGACTAGTATGCATGCATATAAGCATAACCAATGAACATAAGACCCTGGGGGATGGGGGAGGCTAGGGGACTGTCTTGGGCGGGTGGAAAAAATGGACACATATGTAATATCCTTTGTAATAATTAATAAAATTTAAAAAAATATAATAAAAAAAAATAAAATTCATATGGAATTTCAAGGGACCTCAAATAGCCAAAACAATCTTGAAAAATAGTAAAGTTGGAGGACTCACACTTCCCAATTTATTTAAAAATATTTTTTATTGATTTCAGAGAGGAAGCAAGAGGGAGCAAGAGTTAGAAACATCAGTGATGAGGGAGAATCATTGTTCGGCTGCCTCCTGCACGCCCCCTGCTGGGGATCGAGCCTGCAACCCAGGCATGTGCCCTTGCCTGGAATTGAACCCAGGACCCTTCAGTTCACAGGCTGACTCTATCCACTGAGCCAAACCAGCTAGGGCACACTTCCCAATTTAAAAACTTACTATAGAGCTACAAGTAATAATAAGAAAAAATTGTGGCACTGACATAGGAACAGATATCCAGACAACACAATAGAATTGAGAGCCAAGAAATAAACCCTTACATCAATGGTCAAGTTATTTTCTAATAGAAAGCTAGGACCATCCAGAGGGGAAAGAATAGTCTCTTTAACAAATTGTCTGAGAAGGCTTAATGTCCACATGCAGAAGAATGAACTTAGACCTTTATTTTATCCAATATACAAAAGTTAACTAAAAATGGATCAAAGACCTAAATTTAAGAGGTAAAACTATAAAACGCTTAGACGAAAAAATAAGAGCAAATCAATATGATTTTAGATTTGACAATGGTTTATTAAATACAACACCTAGGCAACAAAGTAAATGAGATAAATGAGACTTACTAAATTTTAAAAAATTTTGCACCGAAGAGCATCAACAGAGTGAAAAGGCAACCCACAGATAGGAGAAAATATTTGCAAATTATATATCCAGTCCCTGGCCAGTGTGGCTCAGTAGGAGCATCTCCCCATGTACTGGAAGGTCACGGGTTCAATTCCTGGTCAGGGTACATAGCTAGGTTGCTGGTTTGATCTGTTGGGACACATACAGGAGGCAACTAATCAATGAATCTTTTTCACATCCGTGTTTCTCTCTTTCTCACTTGCTCCCTCTCTAAAATCTAAAGAATAAATAAAATCATGTGTCCAGAATATATAAAGAACCACCACCCACAACAAATAGATGAACAATCCAATTAAAAAGAGAGCAAAGAACTTTGAATAGATATTTCTCCAAAGAAGATATACAAGTGACCCATAAGCACATGAAAAGATTTCTGTTATCATTACTCTCGAGGGAAATGCAAATTAAAACCAGACTTAAATACCACTTCACACTTACTAGACTGGCTATAATTTTTTAAAAGTATGTTTTTATTGCCCTGCCTGGTTTGGCTCAGTGGATAGAGCGTTGGCCTGCGGACTGAAGGGTTCTGGGTTCTATTCCAGTCAAGGGAACATTCCTGAGTTGTGGGCTCAATCCTCAGTAGGGGGCGTGCAGGAGGCAGCCAATCCAATGATTCTCATCATTGATGTTTCTCCCCTCTTCCTCTCCAAGATCAATAAAAAAAAATATTTTTTAAAAAGTATTTTGATTTTAGAGTGAGAAGAAGGGAGAAGGAGAGATACATCAATACGGTTACCTTTCAGTACATGGGATGGCATGGTGTTCAACAAAGTGAGCCACATCAGTCAGAGTTATAATTAAAAAATTTTAAAAAGGAAAATTACAGTTGTTGTCAAGGATGTGGAGAAATTGGAATCCTCATATATTGCTGGTGTAAATAAAATGGTGTAGCCATTTTGGAAAACAGTTTGGCAGTTCCTCAAAAAGTTAAGCATATAGCCCGGCTTGCTGGCCAGCCGGCATGGCTTGGTAGTTGAGCATCGACCTATGAACCAGAAGGTCATGATTTGGTTTCCGGTCATGGCACATGCCCAGGTTGCGGGTTTGATCCCCAGTGTGGGACAGGATAGCTCAGTTGGTTAGAGCGTTGTCCTGATATGCCAAGGTTGTGGATTTGATCCCGGGTCAGGGCACATATAAAAAGCAAGAAATAAATGGACTTTTTAAACTGTTACTTAAAATTCATTGGTCATTCTTGTTCTTTGAATGAGTCTTTTACCTAGAATGATTTGTAAAATAATGTGTTTCATTGGTCATTTGGAACGGTTCACTGACTTATGCAGATCATCCAAACGTCAGCACATTCCATTATACAGGCATACCTCGGAGATACTGCGATTTGTGTCCAGATCACCGCAATAAAGTGAGCCATGATATTTTTGCAGGTAGAGTTTTGCCTTGAATTTTCAAAAAAGGCAACATCTGTAAAGCACAATAAAACAAAGCATAGTGAAACGAGATGTGCCTATATAACATCAAAATTATATTGGCCCGGCTGGCGTGGCTCAGTGGTTGAGCATCGACCTATGAACAGGAGGTCACAGTGCCATTCCTGGTCAGGGCACGTGCCCAGGTTGTGGACTCTATCCCCAGTGTGGGGTGTGCAGGAGGTAGCCAATCAATGCTTGTCTCTCATCATTGATGTTTCTATCTCTCCTCCTCACTTCCTCTCTAAAATCAATAAAAATATATTTTAAAAAGTCATATTTAATATTACTACCAGTCTCATCAAAAAAATGTTTAAAGTACTTGGAACCTGCCAACCTCAGAGTGGTGGACAGAAGTTTTCCAAAGTGCAAATTTTTGCTTCAAATCCCAAAGTTTATCATTGACAACAAATACTATCAGTTGTCATTTGACCACAAATACTTGAGTTTATAAGCTCACTGTTCATTTTTGAAAAAATGTCATATTACCAAGTCTGAATAACAGCCATAGTTTGTGTCAACTGATCGTTCGAATAAAATACTGTTTTATGAAAAGAGCAGCTAGTTCAGTTTTCAGCTTAATTGCATAAGTGCTTTTACTTCAGACACCTCTGATATTTCTGTAGGCAGAAGTGCTTTATGCATGCTTCCTGCTTTATCACATACTCTTAAAAAGACATGTGATCAAGGGTTGAGATTTTAACAAATTATTACATTTTCATTGCTTTCTCAAGGATATTAAATTAAACTAGATTTTTTTTTCCTGTGTGGCAATAATGATTATTACAACTGCTAGTATGGTTAAGTGCAACTGGCTTGATTTATGCTAAGACACCAGCAATTTTGCTCACCATTGTTTTTGCACTAAAGATTATAAATGTTAGCACAGTGAAAAAGGCATGCAAATTTTAATATTATTATGAAAATGATGTTTGCCTTTGGAGACCCCTTGAAAGGGTCTTGAGAACCCCTGGGGGTCATCTGCCTACACATGAGTACAAATGGCCTAACAGATTAGTAACTTGCACAGTGAGAATTTCAGGTCTTGGCAAGTTAGTAGAGAAGATACTGTGGTATATAGCCTTGTACTAATTCTCAGACCACACCTCCTAGGTGATCACTTCCTCTCATGAGCACTGGGTCAGCACACACAATTGTTACTTAGTCATGTTTCTTTAGCTCAGTGGAAATGTCATTTTTGCTCTCCTGTCTATTGTCTCCAGAACTTTCCCTGGCTTATCTCTTGCTTTCTTACTTTCTAGAGGGGAAGATATAGAAAATAAGGAAGTCATCCTCCAGGAGCTGGAGGCAGGGAAAGAAGCTGACAACTTCTGGGAAAGTTCTTTAAGCCGACAATGTCCATGTCCAAATTTTAATTATTTCTCACCCACTGAGTCACTTGATTACTTGGCTTCTCCCTGCCACGTTTCCTCTGCAAAGAAATTTTGCTGTTTTTCCTGGGTAATTAACGCCTGTGTCCTTTCTCAGTTTTCCTAGTGGAAGCACTTTTGAGGCTGAGAGTTTTGTTTCAACCAGAGCTCCCAGCCACGGGCAGCTCTCTTTTGTGGCAGCTGGCATGGAGAAAGCTTCCGGAGAAATGGAAGGGCCGCCGCCTTCCGGGGCTCTGGGAAAGCTCACCATCCCAACCACTGCCTGGTACTTGACGTCCAGGAAGTTCAATTGTAAATACAGAGACAAGGCTGCTGTGTCTTCATTTTAATTGGAAACATTTTCCATTGCTATTATTCCCACTTCATTTTCATTCCTTTTCCTAAAGCTCCGTTAGCTTTAGGTTTTCCCACAGGAAGACTAAGCAGGTGGACATTGTTATAAATTGGTAAAAGGACTAGGCAAGAGGTTAGAGTTCTGGGAACTGGTTCTGGATTCCAGTCCTGGCTGAGCCACTAATTAGCTGTGTGACCCTCAGCAAATCACTTATCTCTCTGTCTTGATTGCCTCATTGATAAACTAAGAATTTTAAAGTAATTTATTTTCTTCTAACTTCCCAACTCAGTGATTTACGACTATTGTGGTTTATGAAGACATATGTGCCACATTTCAAAGAATTCAAATATAATTAAATACACAAACACAATACTCAATGAAACAAAAAATTTGAGTCATAGCCTTAAAGATACTTGTGGCTCTTTGGCTAAGTGTTGGAAGTTACATTAGGATCTTGCAGAACCTCAGAGACATTGTTATAAATAGCAATATAGGACGATGGCAGTTTTTTGCTTATTTTAATTGTGAGTAGAGCAGAATTTATTTCACTTTGCTTCAGTTAACGGGGCAGAGAAGAGCTCGAGGAAGCATAGTGAAGTGGAGAGAGCATAGACTTTAGAGCCAGTCAAACCTGGATTTGAATTCCCCTTCTGCCTCACAGCCTGATTTTGGGCAAGTGACCTACCTTCTCTGAACCTGTTTCCTTACCTGTCAGTGAGGTTGATAAATAATGTTTATTTTCAGGATGTGGCAAGGATTAGAAATAGATACGTGCAATGCCTGTCACATAGTAGCTCAATAAATGGTAGCTAGAGAGCATTTGTGTCTATAATCATACTAGAGGCCTGGTGCATGAATTTGTGCACAGGTGGGGTCCCTCTGGGTAGGCTGCAGGGATCAGGCTGAAACCAGCAGTTCAATGCCGCCTGCGGCTCCTACCTGCTGCTCCCGCTCATCCTGGCTCCCCTGTGCCTGCCCTGGGCTTGCATCCAAGCAGTCCTGATCGGGAGAGGCTCGCGGTGCCACAGCAGCACTCGCCAAAGGGAATGGCCTGTGGGATCGGTCTGAAACTGGCTCTCTGACATCCCCCGAGGGGTCCCAGATTGCAAGAGAGCACAGGCCAGGCTGAGGGACCCACCAGTGCACAACTGGGCCAGGGAGGGACTGCGGGAGGGCTCCAGGATGTGTCTGGCCCATCTCGCTCAGTCCTGATCAGCTGGACCCCAGCAGCAAGCTAACCTACTGGTTGGAGCATCTACCCCTGGTGATCAGTGCACATCATAGCGAGCGGTTGAGCAGCCTTAGCATATCATTTGCATATTATGCTTTGATTGTTCAGTTCTGTTGTTCAGTCTATTTGCATATTACCCTTTTATTATATAGGGTTAGAGTTTTCAAAGTACTTTTTATATGTTCTCTTTTGCTCTCGCTTGTTTTGAGGCAGATGTTACTCTCTTTCATTCATTTAGGAAATATTTATTGATAGGCAGTATAGCCTAATTGTTAAGAGTGTAAGCTCTGGAACCCCATTGCCTGGATTCATATCTTGACTTCACCATTACTAGTTATGTAACCTTGTTATTCAGAAAGTCATTTTACCTCTTTTTGTCTGTTTCCTCATGTATAAAATGGGGATAATAGAAGTATCTATCTCAGAGTTTTTGAGTATTAAATTAAAAGCATATCATTTTTCAGGATTCTATTCGTGTGGTCCTAGGAAATTTGGACAGCCTGCAGCCATTTGCTACGGAACACTTTGTTGTATTTCCCTGTATCCTTTCATTTCTGGATGGGAATGAGCTACAATTCACATTGTAGATTCAAATTGAAGCAATAAACCCATAGACAGTTTAGAAGGTAGGTTACGGAAAGGAGAAAAAGTCATCCCTAAAATAGTACTCAGGGATTCGTATTGACTTTCCTCATTCCTTAGCACCATTTCCCAGATAAAAGCAAATGGGAGAGAGTGTCCCACTTGAAATTCAAACATGGTGAAATCGTGTTGATCCCCTATCCATTTGTTTTGACACTGTACGTAGAGCTGAAATGGTTTAATGAAAACCTGTCAACTGGTAAGTAGAATGATGGCATTGTGGGTGGTGGAGAAGAAAAAGGGGAAAGTTGAACGTGCATGGTTAGTAGTGTAAGCTGAATATGGCAAAATGGTCAGTCAGATTGGGCCCCAATACATACCACCCAGTGTAGAAGTCGGGAGCACGTGCTCCAACCCAGACTGCCTAGTTCAAATCCTGGTGGCCTTGCCACTTTAATCTGAGTGACCTTCGACAAATTTCCTTTTTTTAAAAAATAAATCCTCACCCAAGGATATGTTTTTTAAAATTAATTTTTAGATAAATTTCTTAATCTTTCTGTGCCTCCTTTTTGAAATGGTGAATAATAATAACAGTACCTATCTCATTGAGTTGTTAAAACCATAAAATGTATAAATATTGGAGGTTGGAAAGTAAGTACACAGTCCGACAGTAATCACTCAGTGAAGGAACCTATTATATGAATACTTGATTCCATTTTAGAGGTTTCAGTAACTTTCAACTTAGTAGTATCTTAAAGTAGTATCTCCTACTTTTTAATCTGAGTCATTACTATTTTTACTTATAATGGGACAAGTAGACACCTGCAAGTTTGATTTGGAAAAGCATACAAAGGCCTTGCCTCAAAATGTCTCCCCAATTAATTTGTCACAAAAAGTCCCACCTTTTGTTTCAGAATTGGGGGCCCTTTTTAAGTGGCATATTGTTGGAATATAGTGTGAATCAAACTCTGAATTTCAGCTTATAAATTATAATAGTTCTAAAATAGAGGAGGAAGAGATTTTTGAAGGCTATTTCTAGGATAGTTGGTACCAGGCAGAAGGGGAAAGAGAATACACGGAGGTGTGGTCTAGGCTAGGACCAGTTCTGAGAAGCAAATGGTAGCCAGAAATCCAGGTGAATCAGTGTCTTAATCCATTATAACATTTAAATTTCCTGTTACAGGGAAACGAATAGATGACAGTCCCCTTGGATTGGTAAGTTTGCCTTTTGTATAGAAAGTGATAATTGCCTTTATTGTTTCATGTTGTTGAAAATCCAAAAAAATCCTGCTCTAGTCCAGCCGGTGTGGCTCAGTGGTTGAGCATCAACCTATGAACCAGAGATCATGGTTCCATTCCTGGTCACATGCCTGGGTAGTGGGCTTCGTCCCCAATGGGGGACATGCAGGAGGCAGCCGATCAATGATGTTCTCATCATTGATGTTTCTTTCTCTCTCTCCCTTTCCCTTGTTCTCTGAAATCAATAAAAATGTATTTTTTGAATTGGTTCTTGGGGGAAAAAAGAAATCCTGTTCTGGTCTCTTCCTGTTTTCCCTTGTTGCTGCCCAGGTCCAATCAGAATTGGATACGTGAGGTCATCTTTTCCCCCGTGGCTAACTTTCTAAGATTGTCCCTAACAGAATGTCTACCCTTACTTGCAACGTTGACAAAGTTGCCTTTGGCAACTTACAGATGGGGAGTTCATTGTGCCCTCATGAACTGTGAGCAACTCTGAAATAGGAATCACAGGTCTCTGGTTCCTCTCTGAAGGTCCCTGCTGAGAGGAAGGCAGCAAGAGCCATGAAGAAACGAAAGCGCGTGGAATTGTCTGTCTCTCCCAGCAGACCAGGGCTGGACAGGTCAGTGGTGATGGCTGAGAGTCGAAATCCTGCATCCTGGTTAGGCCAGCTGTTGCTGTTGATTGTTCTTGACCTTACGCGAGTCACTGTCTCTCTGAGGGCTTCATTGGTATCTGCCTGTTCCAGTGGGTGGACTAAGGCAGCGGATGCCAACTGGTGGTCCGTGAGGTCCGAAAGGTTGACAACCTCTGGACTAAGGAAAGGAAGCAAGTTAATATTTGCAGTGTAATTTGAACACAACCCCTTCCTCAGCAGAGTAGGATTCTTGTGTTCATTAAGACCAAGGCTGAGAAGAAATGCAGTCAGATCTATACGGTTGTGTCCAATACATATTCAATGAGAACTTACTGCCAGAAAACACAGTAAGAAGGCACAAGACTTAAAAAGTACCAGGATATTATACAAGAACATAGAACAAATAAAATGTAATTCTATTTTACCTAGTGAGCAGTAAGCTTTTAGAAATCTACCTTAAAAGATTGTCCAGCCCTAGCTGGTTTGGCTCAGTGGATAGCACATTGGCCTACAGACTGAAGGGTCCTGGGTTCAATTCCAGTCAAGGGCACATGCCTGGGTTGCAGGTTCAATCCCTAGTGTGGGGGCGCAGGTGGCAGCCGATCAATGAATTTCTCGCATCATTGATGTTTCTCTCTCTCTCTCTCTCCTCCCTCTCTGAAAGCAGTAAAAATACATTTTTAAAAAAAAAGGATAGTCCAGTCTAGCCCAGCCAGAGTGGCTCAGTGGTTGAGTGTCAACCTATGAACTAGGAGGTCACAGTTTGATTGCTGGTCAGGGCACATGCCCAGGTAGTGGGCTTAATCACCAGTAGGGGGCATGCGGGGACAACCGATCAGTGATTCTCATCATTGCTGTTTCTGTTCCACTCCCTCTCTGAAATAAATAAAAATACATTTTAAAAAAACAGATTTTCAGAAAATTTCTATAAAAAAAAAAAAGATAGTCCAGTCTAAAATATACATGTCTATTAGAGGGTACCAGTTGTTGGGTGAGGTGCTGCAATATATGATATTAGGTGGAATATTGAGCACATTGCTACCATGTTGAAGTTACTATTGAGGAGGCTACTTATTTTCTTTTTTTGATTCTCTGTCAGGGACAAAATGAGTCAGTAAAACAATTCAGTCGTTCTTTCTAGCACCCAGAGAAAGCTGCTGGAATAATCTTAGGTGTGGTTTGCTCCGCAGCACAAAGTGCTTTAAACCCCGTTCACAGAGAGCAGCAGCTTTTTTCCTGGGACGGTGGGGGCCCCAAGACATACAGGAACAGTGCAGGGAGACCACGAGGGAGCTGACCTACACTCTCCTGGTGCACACGGCGGAGGAGAGTGGGAAACTCCTTTCCCAGCCAGGTGGAATGTGAGGGTACTTGGAGGTGTGAAGCTTTGTGTGTCTCCATTTGACTGAATTTTCTGTGGAACTGAAGCTTCATATCTTCCCTTTCTCTGGGTTTTGATGCACGATCAGGTATTTCAAAGTCTGATACCTGCTGTCAGTCCATTTACCTTTTCTCAACCACTAGATCCCTACATGTCTCAAATTGGGATTCTACTGTGAGTTAAGCAGCACCCAAAGAGAAGTTGGCCACACAGTTTATTCTGCAGGCCAGGAGTGGTATAAAAATAGCCAACTTGCTGAAATATTCATGTGAGCCACATTTGCTTGAATGTGGTGATGTAGCTGCTGCCAGTAACATTTCCTGGGCCTTTTCCCCACCTCAGGGCCACGATGAGGACTTCCAGCCAAGGTCCCAGCAAAAAGAAGTTCCTCATGGAAACCAGCAGGGTAAGCACTACAATGGAGGCTTCCAAGCTCTTGACTGTTCCTGCTCTGTTACAATCAAGTCAGGATTCCTGTTACCAGCACATCTCGGTCCTTAATACAGACTGAGTTGACCGAACTCATTCTCAGGTTTCACCATCTGCAGAACAACATTCAACCATTCTATCCTTGCCACAGCCTGTCTCAAAAGTGGCTGCATAACACCGTACACATCGGTGAATCCTTCTCTTCTCAGCTTAAAAAGCTGCTTCTTATACTTACAGCTGAAATAAGAAAAGAGGTCTGTTGAACTGAGGTAGGATCCGGTAAAGAATTTTCTTTTTAGAAACCTTTTTGCCTTCTACATTGGGGCCTGAGTCTAGGAACATCTAGTTTTTACAGACAAGCTAGGCATAAGCACAGGACACTAGTAAGAGAAAACTTAGAGCAGTGATGGGTTGGCCCCAATAGTATTTCATTTCATTTGTGATATCTGTTCCCCACTTAGGTATTCATAATTCTGCTATGCCTCCATTTCAGGGCTTTTCTGTAGTAGTCTCTAAAATAGTACCCGTTTTCTTTTCCTTTTCTTTCAAAATAGCTGTGATCTAATGGCTTTTTCTTCTCTCTCTCCAAAGTAGCTCTGACCTTAAATATCCAAACACTCTTAACTCATCGCCCTTACCTTCCCAGGACTCCATGATATGATCAGTTAATCAGCAAACATTTATGCATCCATTCAGCAAACTTTTAGTTAGTCTACTATGTGCCAGATACTAAGGATATCACAAAATCACCTAAAAATGCCAACAGTGTAAGCTAGGCAGACCACTACTGATAGATACGCCATGTGCAGGAATAAAGGCACCACAAAGGATAACCTCACCCAGATTAGGTGGATGAAGGAGGGTTCCTAGAGTAGCTCAAAGAATTAAGGCCAAGAGGAGAGAATACAGTGCATTCGGTGACTCCAAGCCAGTGCCCCTGGAGCTTGGAGCAAGTGTGGTGCTGGGAGGTGTTACTGGAGAGTCAGCACTGGCTGGATCATGAAAGGCCTTAAGGCTGCCTTCAAGATGACAGGAATG